TACATTCTCATACCCTCTATTTGTAATAATCTAATTCTCCTAAAAAGAAAAATAGGGAAACTAGGAAAATAAAAGATTATGTATCTATTTCCTCTAATTAGAAAGATTCTAATAATATTATCTCAAATTACAACAGTATATTTGTTGGGCACTAGAATATTTAATGATATGGTGGCGTTGTTTTGTTGTTAAGTTGTAAGATACTATCTTGAACAATATGATTGTAATGTTTTGTTGTATTATTAAGCCCTCTCTTTCAGTCTAAAGCAGTAGTGGTACCGGAGGGATCAAGTAATAATCTAATAGTATTTTTAATTTTTGTTGTAGATAGCCTTCAATTACGAGAGATTAAATTGGATAAGGTGCGAGCATGGAAACCATTTTTTAAACTTGGGCAGCAAAGGGTATTAGCTCCCCGTTTGCTTTTGGACAGAAGATCAAGAGATCAGATGATGAGTTTCAGTCGTCATAATGGCCTGGAAATGGAAAAAGTGGGGTATGAAATATATGCAGAGGGTCCAACAAGAGTTCTGCGAATTTGTGAGATCCATAATAGTTTCAAGATGGATACAGTTATTAATTTGTGTGCAAAAGTTCAATTGAGAGTTTCTCAGTTTGCAATTCACCTACTTGAACATGTAAAACAGGTATTCTTGCTTCTATTAGGTGTTTTAATCTATCAACATCTACTATCTGTTGAATGTAGTTGAAGTTGTACTTTCCATGTTTAATATTTTTGTGTATTGTGCATAAAATATAATTTAGTTTTGGAGCAAAAGGTATATAGTGTCTCTTGAATGCTGTCATATTGTACTCAACGTTTCAAAGTATGTAGATTGTAGGGTCTCGAGTCCATCCATCCAAAGAAAAATGAAAATGGAAAGTAGTATCTTAGATACATCTATAATTACTGATTTTATATGGATAGCGTTGTAGTGGGTCAATCACAAACATTGACAATAGTAGTGATTGTGAAGTTTTAGTGGCGCGAAATATTTCCTTGAAAAAGGGATTTGATTTTTTCTAGTTTACAATATGTTGTCATATTCAATTCACAGTGAAAGCACAACAGGTAGGATTATGCCTCTTTCCCCCCCTATGTTTTAAACTTCACCCTTTTGTTCTGAAACATTTGCACTCTTGCTAATTTCTACTGATTTTGCTGAGCTTTTTTTTTCTTAAGGAGGAAGACAACAATGAGTGCAAAGATTTTACTCCAATTGTAATTGCAAAGCTTGGGAATCTGCACGTGATTACTGTTTCTAATAATAATCAAACATATAACCAATTCAGTTTACAGGTAATGTCTATAAAATACTTTACCCAAGTTCTTAACTAACTTGATTCACCTTTTTTGTTCATACCAAGTCTCAAGACAGTATTTCTGTCAAAGAAATTATTGATACTATCCTATTCATTATTAATCCAGTACATGAATTTGGAGCTTAAGTGGAATGGAGCTCCTTTTGCATCAATGCTTCGCAGACATCAACTAGATTACAGTGACTCCAATGATAGTGTACTAAAAATTGTTTTTGTTGTACTTACGTCATACTCCAACGTTAAGCAATTTAGATATTCATCAATTTTTCTTCAGGTAAAGTAGAATACTAGTTTTTTCTCCAACCCTCCCCCATCTTTCTAGAATTTTGTTTACTTTTAAGCTTTTTAAATTGTTAGAAGTCAAGAATTTTCCATTTTAAAGAATGAATTCACTAATTCCATGTGTGCGCTGGTATTGTTCTTATATGATTTGACTTAATGTTTTGTTTAGCCGATTGATTTGAATCTTGATGAGGAGACATTGATGAAAGTTGCATCATTTTGGAGAACTTCTCTTAGTGACTCTGAGAGTCAGCGATTTTACTTTGACCATTTTGAAATCCATCCAATAAAGGTTTACTTCTTCATTGGAGTTTATCTTTCATTTAATTTGAATGTTTTGGCTTAAGTTATATTTTTGAATATATTTTTGTATTTTGTAGATCATTGCAAGCTTTATCCCTGGGGAATCACGTTCAAGTTACAACTCAACGCAGGAGGCTTTGAGATCCTTAATTCATAGTGTGATAAAGGTTGTCTAACATTTCTTCATTAGCCTATTTTCTTAAACATGATGTATACTTGTGTAGTTAGTCATGATAAATCCTTATTTTTCTCAACAGGTACCTCCCATAAAAAACATGGTAGTAGAATTGAATGGCGTCCTGATTACCCATGCTCTGATAACAATACGTGAATTATTTATTAAATGTGCACAACATTATTCATGGTAAGCCTGTGACAGGCTTTCTTTTCAATTTTGTATCAAATTCATGACTAAAAATGGAAGAGTTTCTCCAGGTATGCAATGAGGGCCATATATATTGCTAAAGGAAGCACTTTGCTTCCCCCAGATTTTGTTTCTATTTTCGATGACTTGGCTTCATCATCCCTTGATGTATTCTTTGATCCATCTCGTGGATTGGCAAATCTTCCAGGACTCACCTTAGGTATACTATATGCTCTATTAGCTTCTTGTATGCTCCACTTTTAAGAACCTAGAAATAGATTAAGTTTTCAGTAAAAGATATTAAAGAGAAGTGAAAAAATGAGTTGCAATTTTTTTATTAAATTTTAAAATAGACACCAAGGGTATTCTATGCTATGTTCTTATTAAGCTTGTTGCTTCCTCTTCTTCCCTTACTCTCAAAGCATACTATGATGTCGGTTGAGTTGATGATTGTAGATCTACATACGGGGAAGTTATATACCTAGGTCACAATTTGGTCTCTTGGTGGTCTAAGAATCAAAAAGTGATTATTAAATAAAGTGTAAAGGCTGAATATTGTAGCTCAGCTCAAGCAACTGCAGAAATCTTTGGACTGATACTCTCATTTTTGGTTCCCATCATCTAGTGTGACAATTAGATTATTGTCTCCATTTCCCTCAATCACATTCATCATCCCTCTTCATCCCTATGCTAAACAAATGAAAATTGACCTCTATTTTTTCAAGAAAAGTGATGAAGAATCAGCTTACTGTTTTTGGCACATTCCTACTCAAGAACAATGGACTGTTAACTAAACCTATCTCTTTAACACAATTTTAGTTTCTTAGACACAAACTCCATGGGGCTAGGTTTTATCAATGTCGCCCTCTGTAAGTGTTTGGGGAAGGGGAGTGAATATTGCATTCCACATGTTAATTGTATTTTATATCTGGGCTTGAGCCCATCTCAATGTATGCTAGACTATGTATTATATATATGTGTTTCTGTAACATCCCAAAAATACAGTAATAAACCATATAATAGAATTAATTACATTTAATAATATATCAGTTCAGTCTTACAGTAAACAACGTACGCTTACGGCCGAACGGCCTTACATAAGCTTTCCAACTAAACGGTACAAGATAAGAGAAAACATGACCGAACGGTTTACAAAAGTCAAATACCGAACGGTCAGATAACAACAAAGAGAGGAGGTGACCGAACGATCACCTCATAATAAACTACTATCTACTAACCGAACATCCTACGGTTCGACCTTTACTTCCACTTCGACCAAGTTTTCTTCTTCCAGCGCCTCTTCCAGCAGCGCATCTCCTTCTGCTCACATCCACACGGATGATCATTGCAACGACAAGACGAACGCACAAGACGAGACAACACAAGGAAAACACAGGGTAAGCTTATGTAATTTAATTCATGCATCAACATATATGTTAAACAATCCAACACACAAGAGCATTTCAACACATGTATCACTACGAAGCCTATCACTAGACTGATCGTCCGGACTGTATGAAATCTGTGTAGCTACAGGTGTTCGTGCACCCGGGTGATGTAGTAACTGGGATACACTCAACAGCTGTCACCCGAGGTTAGCCCTATCTGTCCAAAGTACCCCTAAGGACTAGGACCTCCTGCCATTCCCACACATGACCTACCCTCCTCTACGTGAAGACGAGTACTCACAGAACATCAGGATGAACGGCCAGCTTAGCATGCCCACAGTCATACTTTACCAAATCCAGTATTCATACATGAGTCGTTCCTCCCCGGAACGCTCGTTCATATTCCACAACATTTCCAAATCACATTTTCTTCATCTTTCATTAATAAATATCTCAGTTAACTATCTCGTACAAAGATTCCAATAAACTTTAAAATAACGAACGTTCAACCTGAACTGAGAACAAGATCGAACACGTGGAGCGAACACGAGAGATCTCAAATTTTGAACTAGATTAATATCAAGGGTTGATACCGAATTGAGAGATAACGAGTACATTAATATATTCCAAGAACGAATGAGCCGAACATCAATTTCAACGTTGAGTCAATTAGATGAACTGACTCTTGAGAACTCACTCAGAACATTAAAAGACTAAACCAAGAATATGGACTCTAGGGTGAAACCAATGAATAAAGATATTTCAAGGCATTCAAAAACTGGTACTTAGAGTGATTCACCGGAAGAAACCGAACACTTGTGTTTAATTGAGTTTAGTATCAAGAAATCAAAATGTCATTCAAAGACTGAACACTATAGAGAGCGAACCCTAGAGGGCTTAAACGAACGCTCGTATTAAAATTAGCTTAAGGAAATGGAACGAGTGCCTGGTGTAAGACCGAGCACCCATAAACTTAATTAACATACAAAGGCTTGATAACATAGTACGATAACATTGAAGTAGTGTTTACGAACAATAAAATATACAATTACATATATACTTAGATTTATAACCGAACGTTAATACCCAACTGTGCTTGGCCGAACGCTCATGCACAATATTATGAAGTGCAGACGCTCGTCCTCAACCAGGATTCTTCCCAAATGAAAGAATCCACTACAAATCCAAATTCACTAGAAAACCGAACGGTTAAGGACCGTTCAGTAACGTACGTACTCTTTCTTAGGGAAATTTCATATTCAAAATTCATATATATTCAAACTCATTTCTTGACATATAACTTCATAACTTTCCACATTCATATCATAATCACTTTCATATTTCATAACATCCAAACATAGAGATTTCATATATTTCATGCATCAGAACATAGCACAGCCATATTTCATTTCCAGTCATCAAATCAACGAACGTTCATACAGCACAGTAAACATACAGATTAAATTAAATAAGCTTCCCTTACCTGATACGTGAATGAACGTCCTAAAGGTAGGTTTTGGTTCGTTCGACTACAAATCTTTCTACTCTCAA